GGGGCCCTCTGGCATCCCAAGCCAGCTCTTAACCATCGCGCCACTCGGCCGGCCCTGCAGCTTGTGCAACTTGATCACACCCTTACTAACACTCTTCCATTCTTTCAGTTTCCCCTAACACTCTGGTGTTTTCCCCCCAATTTAGCCTTTTGTCATCTGCTTCTCTTTCTAAGGAAGCTATAACAGTTCATCCATATTTACTGGCTTTGACGATTACTTTTATGCTGATGACCATCAAATCTATATCTAGTTTTATAGGTTTCAACATGCGCTAGTCCCTCATCTCTAATTGCATACTGAAATTTTCCATTTGGAAATCTTGTTACAAAATAATAATAACACAAGTCAAACATGTCTAAAGCTAAATGTTATCTTTTATTGAAACTGGCTGCCCCTTTCAAATTCCCCATCTCTATCAATGGCATGTTGACCCTCCTAACTTAGACTTTGATATCATTTTTGCATCTTCTCTCTACTATTTTTTTGCATGTTGCTGATATTCGGGTGGTCTCAAGTCCTGTTATTTGTTCCTTCGAAACCACTGTCATAATAATTCCTCCCATTCCAGTGCCACTGCCATGGTGGCTTTTGTCTTTCTTCATGTGGTTCCTCTCCCTAGTTTGAAATCTATGGCCCAAGTGAAGTTCCAACCCTGCCTATAATACATTGAATGCTCAAGCCTTTATGGATTCCCCCTTTTTCTGAACACTCACAGGCATATCTAATATGTACTATACAATTCAACAGTTAATAAACATTCTTTTTATTCTTTGCTGTTCCACGTCAATATCTTAAAGCCAGTTTTCCCTAAGCTTTGTAAAGCAAGGCCTGTCCTTTTTCTGTATTCTTCACAGTGCTTACTCCAGTGCTGAAATTCTCAAGAAATACTTCACATTACTAATTTTCTACTGTAACATAAAAAGGATTGTCTTTTCTAAAATACAAAAAGTATATTAGAAATGGTAAGGAAAGTATGATTTTTAATTCTTAAAACACTGCTTTATGGCCTCCATACATCTACTTCAAAAGGTATAAATATAGGCAAACTAGGCCCAATATACTTTCACAATCTTGTCTAAAAGGCAGTGAACAATCCTGTTCTTGTCTACCAGGGATTTCTTCCTTAACTTTCTCTACTAAAGACTCAGCACTTAAAAAGACTACTTAACTCAAATAACCTTAAGCACATTTCACTTAGTAGTTATTAGAAAGATGTCAAAATGGCTGCTGCTGAATAAACACCTCAGCTCTGTTTCATAAATAAATCATTCAGTTAAGCACAGAGGTTAGACAAGCTCATCTACCTATTACTGATAAGTGATGGACTTTAGCCAAGATGTGCGGTTCTTCCGCATTAGACAAACAGGCACTTGGGAACTGCTCACGCTGTCATTTTATTGGCTTCATTAAATATACAGCCTATTATGTGTCTGAAGTGGACCCAGCTGGTGGTTATTAATGATTGTATTTTATTTGTCAAGTGTCTTCAATGTCCCAAATTTTAATTTCTTGGGGAATTCTATGGAGTAAAGGAAATTAAGCCAAAGAAGGATGAGTCCTCTTACTTGTTCTTCCCTCTTCTCTTCCTCCCTACACCCCTCACTGTTTTTAATCCTTTTGAAAATAGCTATACATCAGCCTTTGAAAACCTTGCACAAATTAAAGTTCACATGTTCAGGTTATTTAAGAAAACAGATCAAAGCATAGTAAAATTCTGCCAACAAGAAACAGGATTTAAACAAAAAACTGTGCACTTATAGTAACACTGATCCTGAAGCATGTCACTGAACTTGATTTACTACACCAAGGAAAAGGAATATCTATGCCATATAATTCAAAGAGATTAAGGGGCCGGCCGAGTGGCTCAGTTGGTTAAGCGCTCGCTCAAGAGTTTGAGCTCTGAGCAACAGCAGTTCAAGTCCCAGCCTGAGCTGAGCAGCCGCTAAGCTGCCAACAGGTGGCAGGATGGCTCAGCTAAAAAAAAAAAAAAAAAGAATACAAAGAGATTAAAAAAATACTGTTAAATCTCTTTAATCTTTCATATGGAAATAATCATGTCTTGCCACACTGTGAAATGGCAAGTGTTACCACAGCTTCAGTATTCTCACAGCTTAAAATCTTATAAATATTTACCTTATACAAACACAAATTAACAGCTCTTCACTGTAATGCCTCAAAGACAGCTACTTACAGAAAAGGCATTCCATTCACTGATTTGAGAAATATTAATATTTGTAGTGCTCTCTCTGTTTTTGCTGAAATGCACTGTTTGGCAAATTTGGCCATCTTTTCCAATTCTATAGGTAATAACTTAAGCTCTTTTAATCTTAATAAGACAATTTTATAAATACATGAGAATTAGTAATCTATCATCTCTACTATCTTCTGTACAGGTGTACTATCAAGGGTAAATGTCTATATATTTTAAGTAATATAAAGAGTATGGTAATGCTTACAAATAAGAAAAAATATCTCATGAGATATAATTTTCCTTGCATTTCAATACATTGGATCCAAGTATTTATCCTAAAAATATCAAGAAGAAAAGTGATAGATACTTTTGTATCACCCAGATGTATAGCATTTCTGAAACAGTTAATACTTCTAAAAGACACTTCATTATTTCTGTTTCTAGAACCTCAAATTGGTGGGGGTTAATTTAGCCATTTTTCTTTAATTTGGAGAAAAAAATCCCCAAATATCCATTGATGATCATCATCTCAGAAGTGAAATTACAATTAGTGTGGCTAAGTCATTCTACCTCTTAAGAAATTATAATTAACTGCATGTTATAAGATTAATATCTTGCAACAACATGGATGGGCCTACAGGATATTATGCTAAGTGAAATAAGTCAAAGAGAGACAAATACCATATGATCTCACTTATATGTGGAATCTAAAGAACAGAACAAATGAACAAACAAAACAGCAGGCTTTGGGAATGGGTGAGAAAGGTGAAGGGATTAGTAACTAGTATTTGTTGAAGGGCTATAATATAGTGTGCACTATGGTGGGCATATTGAGTGTTACTAAAGTGAACAAATATTCATTCAACTCACTTTTATTGAGTGTCTACTTCAGGGCAGCCACTGAGGATTCAGAGGTAACCAGAAATTGTTCCCGCCATTGCAGCCTATGGTTTAGTGGGGGCAGAGAAGATGTGCAGGACTTGGTGACATATGGAGAACTGGGGTGAGGGTGGTGGGTACTAGAATACTAGATGGAGACCCCATCTTGAGCAAAGGCAAAGAGATAAGAAACAGCATGTTGTGAATAGGAAAATATAAGCAGTAAGGGGAAATGTCAGGAGATTAGGCTGATAGATCGGCAGGGTCCAGTTCTATTGGGTTGTCGAAAAAGTCATGATGCAATTTTGCAATGAAAGATGTAGAAAAAATATGTCATGACTTTTCTGACAACCCAATATATGCCATGTTATGGACCTTAGATTCTATCCTGCAGGTGAAGGGAAAACCTCAGAATAGTCTTAAGCAAGAAAGTGGTGTCTCCAATCTAGCAGCAGGCTAGAGGATGAACGTGAAGGTGACAAGGATGAAGGCAAGACAACGAATTAGTGTGGTAAAAGGGGTCTGAATCAGGGAAGTGGTGGTAAGGAGGAAAACAATAAAAGTTTAGGTCATATATTGTTAATACTTGCTGACTGCATAGCTGTGAGAAGTGTGAGAGGACGAATAATGGGATCAGTGCAGGTACATTTAACTGACAGAGAGAATACAGAAATAGGAGCAATTTTTTTAGGGTTTGGGATGGGGGTATGAGGGGTGTGTGTGGGAGGAATGCATTCTGTTTTGAATATGTTGAATTTAATATATGGTGAGGAAGACCAGATAAGAAAGAGTCTGAGCAGAGTCAGGTATGGGGATACACATCTGGGAGACATCAGATAATTAAAGCCATGAGCGTCAAGATGAAATCATCTAGGGAGAGTAGGGAATGAGCAGAATAGCAAGCTGAGAACAAAACCCTAGAGATCAGTGGTATTCAGGGGACAAGATAGGAAGAGAATCCCATGAATGAGAGAGTTAAGGAATAACCAGAAAAATAAAGGAGAACCAGGAGAGTGAAGTGGCCAAGGAAATCTTAGGTTTGGCTGGAAGGATGTGTTTTTAAATTGGAATTGAAATACCTTTAGCTAAAACATATACTTTCCAGTTCAACTAAGTTCCCATCATTACTCATGCTGTATCATTTTTTTGTGACCTGTCTTGCCTCTGCCTGTGTGTTTGTGACTCCTGGAGTAAAAGCCTCTAGGAAACAGGGAGTCCTTCTAAGCATCGTATGCAGCCATAAGTACCAGAAAGATAGGAAATAAGAGATGAACACTAATTTAGCAACAAAAGGGTCATGGTGATCTTAACAAGGTCAGTTCTTCGGTGGTCATGGTGGCAGAATCCGGATTACAGAGGGGTGAAGAGAAAATAGATATGGTGAATGTAGCTACTCTTAAGAAATTTTCAGAAGGAAGGGAGACCAGACAGTAGCAAAAGGGGAATGTAGGTCTAGAAATGCTTTTGTTTTACTGTGTTTTTAAAGAATTAGGCTCTGAATATGTTTACAAGCTGAGTCAGTAGAGAGGCAGACAGGAGTCATAATGGAGAGGTGGACTGCCTGACGGAGCAAGATCTGGGAGGGGGCTGCATGAGGCGGGCACCAGTGGAGCTATGAGCTTTGGACCAGTGAAGAGACTCCTTGACCTCAGAACTTGGAGGAAGGCAGCACAGGAATTCAGACCTAATTAAGATCCAATGCAGGTTTTTCAGCAGGAAAGCGACATGATCAAACTGTGTTTTAAGAAAATTAGTTTGGCACAAACATGCAGGATGGACTGGAGTGGGGAGAAGGGGCAGACTATGGCAAATAATTCAAGCAGGAGATGCTGGCAACCCAAACTAGAGTGGTGCCAGCAGAAATGGAGAAAATGAAAAATCTAATAGACATTTCAAAAGGCATGATGACATAATTCTGGAACAGACTGGCATAGGACAAGTCAAGGAGGAGGAAGAGTTAAAGTGACTCAAGGACTTGAAATAATACCCCAGAAGATTAGAATGGTGGTATCAAGGTCAGAAATGGGGCACCTGGAATGCACAGCCAATGTAGGGAGAAAAAAAATGTTAGGTTTAAGATATACTGAGTTTGACTCTACTCCCACACTATATACTCCACGTCCCATGACTATACAGATATATTCTTGTACAGCTGAAACTAATTTTTAAAAATGTGTATTTCACAATAAACAAAAAAGAAATAAAAAGATATACTGAGTTTGAGGTGATGGTTCTCAAATTTTAAACTTTGGGACAAAACAAAGTCCTCTATAGAATAGGTGACTGCACAGAGAATGGAAAAAAAATAAGAAATGGGAGAGAATAAGAAATATTTTGTTCAGATAGGGTAGCTCTACCACACCCATGCCAGAAAACCAGTAAATAAAAGCTCATATTTTAGATGTCCCAGAATTAGATTCACTATTTCCTGAGGATCTCACTTTACCTGATATAAGGAAAGTTTTACAACCATAGAAAGACCACAGTCTCAGATCCTGTAAAACTTTCTCCTAAACATTTAATCTTTTTTCACATCTGAGACATTTGACATCGAATGTGCTTTAGTGCCAGGTGGGTACTAGACTAGTCAGGGAGGATCACTTCTTAAATTATATAAGTGTGTAACCACTATGCTGTACACCTGAAATTAATATAAAATAATATTGAATGTCAACTGTAATCGAAAAATTTTAAAAGGGGGGGAAGGTGAAGGGGAATAAGAGGTCCAAATTTCTAGGTATAAAACAAGTAAGTCGTGGGAATGTAATGCACAGCATGGGGAATACAGTCAATAATATTGTGATAGTGTGGTATGCTGTCAGAATGGTTGCTGGACTTATCATGGTGATCACTTTTCTAGGAATATAAATGTTGAATAACTATGGCGTACCCTTGAAAGTGATATAATATTATATGTTAGCTATATTTTAAAACTCTTTTAAAAATGCGCTTTGTAGGTGAGAGATACAATTAAATAATTTTCCAAACTATATATATTGTTAGCAATTCAATTACTGGTTTGCTGCTTTTCAGGTTTTAGCTTCAACTGACACCAACAGTTGCCACCAGCACCACGACTTCACACTCATAATTCCAAAATTTTTAAGCTGGGAGGGACTTTACACCTACAAGAATGGTGTGGGCATGGCAAGTGTCAGTGTTTTGCTTTTAATTGAAAACAGCTGGTAAGTACTTCACTATGGTTGTGTGAAGAGTAGAATGGAACCATAAATAAGTTTCAGGGAACTTAAATTCTGTTTCCTTGCAATCCTTCTCTGTTCTCTGAATTTTAGAAAATAATGAGGGAGAGGAGTGTTGGAATATCAAATATGGACTGGAATAAAAACCCTTTTTCTGTTCAGTCATGTGAAATAATCTGCATGAAAGTAACCTTTGGTGCCAGAATCATAATTAGTTTGAGTAATAAAATGTCTCCCTAGTGATGAAAGGAATGCAAGTAAAACAGTGTAGAAAGCTGGCATCTGGTCAATGTAGGCTATCTACAAAATCCTTGGACCAAGAAAAACTATGTTAAAATTGCCTAACCAAAAAGCAGGTTTTAAAATCTCCCCAACCTCTTCCACAATTTCAAAATCTTTCCTGATACATTTCATGCAAAGACCACAAAAGCATTTTAAATGAAAATATTTAACATGTTAAAATAAAAAGCTAACACGATGGGGAAAGTGGTGCATATTATATGATTTCACGTACTACAAGTTAGACTGAAAGTCAAAGGAGCTAGGGGAGCCATCATCAAAATTAGAGGCACCATGACTTGATAGGAAAAAGCAGCTGTATTTTGCAAACGCAGTAAAAGATAGTGTAGTTAAGAGGATGAACATGACTCAATACTCAAACTTCCAAATATTTACAACCCAGGCACATAAAAATGAGAAAGTACCCTTTAAAGCCCAAAGAACCATTAAAATGTTCTTCTTTTGCTTTGTAACTACTATGCTGAGGTCCCTAACCCTTTTGTTTTCTCAGATATTATCCAAGATTTCCATTTTTAAAAAGTCAGTCTGCATGAGTTTTTGAGAAATTATCCTCAGCTTCTGGAGGACTAATTCCATATGTATATTTAATGTTTGCGTAGTACATGTCCGGGCATACAAAATCTCCTGGAGGTTATCTTAAATGATCTCAGAGCTGAAAGGCTTTAGAAACCATGTACCCCAGACCTGTATTTTCCAGATGGAGAAATCAAAAGCCAGAAATGGGCAGTAACCTGACCAAGGTCATAGGTCCAGTAAGAAGCAAAGCTAGGACTAACCTACAAGAGCCCTCACTCTAAATCCATTGCTCTTTCTTTCTACTTTTCCTAATTCTACTTTCACCCTGAACCTCTAACTGTGCGATATTTAGGGAATGTCAGAGTGAGGGTGATCAAGACATGGGAAGGATAATTGTATTCATTCATATAAGGATTGGACAGGAAGAATGGATGGATGAATATGTGGGTGGCTGGATATTCCACAATATTCAGAAAATGCATCATGTTTCTGTTTTGAAGAATCCAAGTCTAGGTCTTGTCACATGTCACAGCCGTCACCGTATTCCACTAGACAGCAATCTTAGCGGCAAAGAATGCTGTGGTACATCCTGCAGTTGAAAGACTATTCCCTCGCCAGCACACACACAGATGCAGAGACTCGTCCCTAGTCCTATGCCCCTGGCTCCCAAACCCCTCACTCGCCTGTCCTACACTCACTCTTGAGCAGGCGTCGGTGCATCACATTTACATTTTCACTCCCTTACAGCTATCTCCCTGCATTTCTCTATTTACACCAGGTGTCTGTTCCTAACAGTATGCCTCCGTCAGCCCTCCCCAACTCCACAGGCCCCTTGATCACCTTCTCATCTCTGTGTTGCCAAATCTCAGCCTTTTAAAACCCCACGGCCCCTCTCGCTTACACGGTGATGTGGCCGGCGCCGCGCACCAACACAGGGTCGGGGGCATATCTCCGCAGATGCTCCTCGCTCACTACCCGAGGCGGGGGCGGCGTCTCCTCTTCCTCCTCCTCTCCCTCTTCCTCCTCTTCTTCCTCCTCCTCCTCCTCTTCTTCCTCCTCTTCCTCTTCTTCGTCATCGTCAGGCCCCGATACCGACGACGACGACGACGGCGACGACGACGACGTTGCCGCTTCTTCCTCCTCCTCCAGTTCCGAGATGGTGTCGAACTCCGCCATGTTGGGCAGCAGGATGCTCATCACGTGACTCCTCGATGGCCGCCACCCTCACGTAGAAGAGCTCGAACCTGCTGAGGTGCTGGAAGAGGAGGGGGAGCGAAATGAAGAGAAACAGGAGAGCGGCCGGGACAGGATTTGAGGGGCCGCGCCTGCGTGTTGTGGCAGACGGGACAGGGGTTCGGAGGCGGGGGCACCAGGGAGAGGAAGAAATCAGTGTACGCTTGCGCGGCTCGAAGGGAAGAGGGGCGTTAGAGGTGAACTCCAGGGAATTCTCGAGGTGCGGCCAGCGGGTGCTGAGCTTAATACTGCTCTTGGCCCTCTGCTGCTTGTGTTTCAGGGGACGTGCCTTCTAGGTCACTTCCAATTAATTAATACTCAGTATTACTCCCCCTCCCCAGTGTAGGGAAAGCGTATTCTATAAAAGTGAGGTGAGAACTTTGTCCCAAACGTCTCAATGTATGTACCAATTCCGTACATTTCTTCATCATTACAGTTTAAAACACTTAGCATTACATCTTTCCCACACCCTGCAAGGCATTTTTATTGACGCTTTACTGAAGATGAGACTTTTTTACTACTCCTATTCCCACTACGTAATTCTTAGAGAACTTTCTAAGCTAAGTCCTCTAGGTGCATATTCTCATTTAATATTCCACAAACCTACATACCATGATGATCTCATTTTACAAATACAAATCCTAGACACAGAGAATAAGGTCATAGACTTACTAAATGGCACTGTTGGTTTTAAATTTGGGGGTCTCTTCTGACCCCTAAAGCCCAATACTATTAACCAAAGGACTATACTGACTTAAGTGCTTTGGATAGGCTTTGTAGACTGGTGTCTTTTGGACTGTTTCTTGAAACGTGTTTGAATTTTGGAGGGTTTTCTTTTTGTGGGGGAGTGCAGGGGAATGGGGGATGGGAAGAGCATTCCAACCTAAGGAAACATTAATTAACACCATTCGTTTTCCAGACACTGAGCTAGACTCTTTTGCATGCAATATCTCACTCAATCCTTAAACAATTCTGTGAGGTAAGCATCATCATACCTATTGTATACATGAGATACCAGGGTCTCAGGAAGTTTAATAATTTATTAAGGTCTATGGTAACCTTTTATCCAAAGATTTCCATTTCTAATATTCTATCTTCTTCACACACACTAAAATGGTGTACAGATCACATATTTTCAGTTTCCAATCCACGTGTCAAACTATTTTATACTTGGCAGCAGCACAAAAATCCATGTTGTAATTCTGGAATCATGAAGACAGTAAAGTCACCACATACCTGCTAAGTAATAAAACAAGTACCATAATCCAGGTATTCTAATGTCAGCTTCATTGTTCTTTCTGCTCCACTACAGCTACATCCCAATTACACAGTTTTACTGAGAACGCTGACAGAACCACACTTTAATTTAGAATGAGCTTTACATTAGCAGTAGAGCAGTATAAACAAAGCATTTAGGATGTATGAGGGAGGAAGAAATTATTTCTATAAGAGGCGTTAAACTACATTCATTATCAGAGTTTGTGTTACTAAAATGAAAAAAATGTCTTCTACTCAAAAGCTTGATTATTTAAGAACTTTAAAGATAACTTGTAACACTATCAATAAGCAACAAAATCTAGTTTTTTATAGTACAGAGAATTTTATCTAGTAGCCAGAAATTTTATTTTAAGATGGAACCTTAAAATATTTTATAATAGCCTCTGGCAAGACATACATAATATATCTCCCTTTCTTAGGTATTAATAAATATCATGTGTCATTTATGTGAGTGACATGCCTTAGACTTAAGATCAAATTAATATTCTGCACCAGTTCTTTTCTTTCAAAAAGCAAAAAAGCCATTGGTAATACTAAAAATTTTCCAAACATCTTACATTATCCAAAAAGGTCCACTAAGCCAATGTCTAGAGTGAAGTATTTTGCTGGTTACTGCTTAAATGATCGTTTCTTCTTTTCACCACTCAGGATTAAGCTAAAAAGGATGTTTGAAGAAAAGAAAGGGAAGAGTATGAGGGGTGGACTTTGTGATGAGGTACTGCAACTATGGTAAAAGCTAAGAAATGATGGTTGTGGGAGATGGGAGGGAAGGAGAGGAAAGGGGAAATTCCACTGTCAAAATTGAAAGAGGCCCCCCGACATTGAGTTAAATGTCAAAACAATAAAGCAGTTCAGGGGAGTGCTAAGCTTGGAAAAACAAGTGTAGTCAGATCTGCTCACCTGTTTTCCTGCATATACAGTGAACTGAAAAGGCAAACATGATCCCGAAGAGAATTTGTTCTGCTGAACTGTAGGAGAATTTGGAATTGAGCAAGCTAGAAAAACACATTTTGTCAGTAAACACAAGAAACAGCATGATTTTTAAATGATACTTTAGCAACCTTCAAGAATAGTAAAGCTAGGAGTGGGTGGAAAATAAAGTAGGCCATATGAGTATAACTTCCTGTCTGATGTGCTAATCAGGGGATGGGGGGGGGGAGGTAATTCTCCCACCTGATGCTTGGGGACCTGAGGCAAGAGGTCACAGGTGTAACCATCTGAGGATGTTTCAACCTTGAAACAGCTGAACAGAAGTATAACTTTTAAAAGCTTTCTTTCTTTTTTCTTCTCTTTCTTTCTTTCATCTATTTAATCATACGATTCAGTGATTTTAGTAAATTTACATAGTCGTGCAACTATCACCACAAACTAATTTTAGAATATTTTTGTATTTATTCTGTGTGTTGCAGATCTGCCTTTCTAGTGACTCAGTCAAGCCGGCCTGTATTGTTGTAGTCTGATTTCATTGTTTTGGCAAGATTTAAAATTGATACTGCAAGTGGAAGTTCTGAGGTAAGATCATTGATACCAGACAAGCATGATTGAGGGACAAAAATCTTTTTTATTTCTTCTTTTTATTAACCAGTGACAGTGGATTCAGAATCACCTTCTGCTGATTTTTTTTAACATTTGTCTTGTTATGAAAATGCTGTTAGCTTTTGAAAAGGTATCCAAAGATAGATAAATTTCTGCTTACCTTTTCCCTGCCCTCGAAAGATAGCATTAAAAAAACACACCCAGCATCAAATAGCAAGCACAAGTACACATACACAAATGTGCCCCCCGGCAGAACTGATTTTTACAACGTGTTCACTGCCAAGTTTCTGAAATCGTAAATAGAGTTTACGAGGGCCTGTGGTTGTAGCTTTTAATGATACAGCTTACGAACAAGCTTCCTGAGTGACTGACACATAGCATAGCACATCACAGGAGTTTTCTGGGGATGGTTTCTAATAGTTAGTGACCCTTGACTTATCTCCAACCCATTCCTCATCCACTTGTTCTGCATACTGCCTTTCAAGGAATTAGATCCTGTCCCAGGTCCCCTGCTGATATCTCAGAGACCAAAAAGAGAACGCTAAAGGAAGGGCACTTCCCGCTTTGATTTTCGTTCATTCAGACACTATGACCTGCTGTATCTCATTAGGCTGAAATCCACGGACAGCAGATGGGGTGGTGAAAAAAGTGTTAGGTAGTTCCCCAGGGCTGATGGAGCCAGAGTCACTTTGCACCGAGCCTCCACTGTTCTCAAACTGGGAGATTTTCTTTTTGATTATCTTCCTCTCTTTGGCTCTGCGATTCTGAAACCAGATTTTCACCTGAAATACAAAATACTTTGGATTTAATGGGGCAGTTTTTATAGTCATTGATGATGTTATACAGGGACTTTAACATTGACAAAGCCCTTTCACATGCATCACTTCATTTTAGCCTCACAATGACCTTGTGAAATACACCCATTTAACAGGTTAAAAGAAGCTCAGGCTCAGAAAGGGAAAGGATCTCGCATGAGATCCAGTCCGGGGCTGCTGACTCCGAATGCAGTGCTCTTTATATTATACCTCATTCAGCACCTCTGGTTGCACAAGTAGAAATAAATAATGATAGAATGGAAGATGCTGAAGTGGGGTCATAAAAAGGGAGGGTTTAAATAGCAAAGGTGATTACGATCTGTCATGAAAGAAACGTCCTAATATTAAGGTTAATGAAACATAGAGCTGGGTGAACAGGGTAATGAAATACTATATCTCTTGCTGTGATACTAATGTGCTTTCATATATGGTTGAAATGCAAGCTGCTTGGGATAAGGCAATACATTAATGGATTTTACAATTCTAGAATTCTACAATTCCAGGATTACTTCTAGACTTAAGTGAGCATCAGGTAGTTATGTAATGTCAGGTAGTTATGTAATGTCAAATCTGGGTGAACAGAAACCATTGATCCTTGCATGATTTAATCTTCATTAAGTACCCTCAGTAAGCTAAATTTGAGACAGACATCATAAGATTATATAGACCATAGAAAATTAAATTTCCTACCCTGAATAACAGAAAAACTTGGTTCAGGTAGCAGCATTGTTATTCAGTTACTGTCATAGTTTGATTGATGTGATCCTGATAATGGCCATGATTGCCAAATCTCCACTTCACACATTGGTTGTGACTACTTCAGAGAACCAGATCAAGGTTTTCACTTCACAGATCAAGTCTATGGGAGTTTTCATCCTTCTCCACCTCCTATGTCCCCACACCTACTTAGCGCTCACATTCAATTATTAATAAACTCACTGACAACTAGGCTAAACTAGGAGGTCAAGTAGGATTAATGTGGGCTTCAAGAGAGCTTGGAGAATGTCTTGGTCTTCTGTTCTGCTTCTGCTCCTGCTTACAGACTTCCCTAAATTCTCAGCCTATTGAAACTACATGAGACATGTTGGATGTGCTTCTGGTGTACCTGTCTTTCAGAAAGGCCCAGGTTCACTGCCAGCTCTGATTTTCTCCGAATGGTAATGTATCTATTGCAGTGGAATTCCTTTTCCAGCTCCAACCTTTGATGATCTGTGTAAACCACACGATACTTTTCTTTTGTCCTGGTTTTTCCTGTTTGGGGGGAAAGCAGTGCATTTAATCATATTTTACCTCTTTGGAGATTGTTTTGGTTGAAGGAATCACAGCCACTGGTTCCCACTCTCATCTGTTACTTACAAATATAAACCAAGTACATTTTTTGAACCAAATATGTCGTAAGTCCATTTCTCCATTAAATATTTTGTTATCTGTTGCCATTACATGTGTGTATCTTACACACCTATCATGCTACCATTGACCTACTGTTACACCAAAGCATTTTA